ATGCGTCTTCTTGCGAAACACCGAGGTCAAATATCCCTGCTGGTGGTGTCTTACTTGCACATCCAAGAAAAGTAGGGTGCTGTTTTTTTCTTTCTCCTTAGTGAAAACGACGAGGCTTGGGAATAGGCTGTTTAGATGTTTAAAGAACGGTGTTTCAGTTCCATTTTTACAAAGAGCAAAGATGTCATCAACGTACCTTTTGAAAAAGGTTGGATAGGCATCTTTGTCACCCGTAGTAAAGGCCAAGCGTTCTAAATGTTCCATAAATATATCAGCCAGAGCAGGGGACAAAGGCGATCCCATAGGGATTCCTTATACTGGCGATATAGTTTTCCATTGAACTGAAAGTAATTGAAACTGATGAGACATCTTCACTAGCTTGAAAATCGAGGTTATCGAGAAAGGCGTTTTGTTCTTAAGGTCCAGGTCTTTTGTCGGTTGTTCTTCGACCAGGTCGATTCGAAGGGGATGCTGGTGAATATGTCCTTTACGTCTTAGCTCACCATGATTCCATCGTTGTCGTTCAGTCGTGGGACAGTCTCTTGGACGAACTTCTCTGAGTTCTTTACACAAGATGTTAGCTTACCAGTGTACTACTGAATGGTGGAGCGTAGCAGTCATGCAGCCAAAGCCGAAATACAAGATGATGATACGACAATAGGTCGCATAGGAATATTTGGCTTGTGGATCTTTGGTAAGCTGTACAGATCAGAAACAGACCAATTGCATTTGTAGCGAAGTTTCAATATTATGCCCTTTGTTTCGTCAGCGGTCATTTCGTTCTTCCTTTCCATAGTTTTTATCACTTTTTATCGATACATGGACCGTAAACATCAGACGGCCAATCAAAACCAGTAAACAAGCACAGCACCTGTAATATAAGGAGAAATGTCACGTGCCCTTTTTAATGTACTTTGAAGACGGACCGACTTTGGTCCGAAACGTCAGATGTCTCTAATTAAAGAACATTTTATGCGTGATTTTTCCGTTTGTGACTTACCAAAGAATTATATATTACTATTATTACTATAAATTGTTGATATTTAT